CTGTGGATGAGAAAAATATTAATGTTTTCTATCAAATGGAATATTTAATAATAGCATCCCAAATTTCTATTTTTCATCAAGAATGAAATAAAATAGACATCTACAAAGCAATTCTTCTTTGACTGATGTCTTTGAAGTTCTCAGTGTTCCAAATCTATTACTACATAACTTACTAAGTATATAAATTACACATTTTACTGTTTATCAACAATCATCTTAACACATTCTTTTTTCAAGATCAGTATCAAAATATCATCAATATTTCCAAGCTACTCATCCATTTCTTCGCATTTCTGTCAATAAAGTGACCAAAAAATGTCCTGTAAAGTGGACAGAGATCAAGAATTTCAGTAATTCAGTTAATTTCTTTGTGTTAACAATTTGTGTGTGCCTCAGCAGAGACACCCAAAGCAAAAAGATGGCAATGTTGCAGAGAAAGCATGAGCTGGGCTATGGTTATTCAAACTAATGGCCAATGGTAGTAAAAATACTGTTCATATCCAGAACAACAACAACACAAACCCCCATGAACTGCAAACTCAGAGCTACCAGCAGCACCTGCCCCTCTGGAGTTAAACTGAAGTAAATAAACAGGAGTGTTCCATGGAAAGCAGCACCATCAATTTTTGCTGTTTGCTAACAGCTCATAACAATCAACTATTTTTCATGATAAAATACAACGTCTTCTAAATATTTTGTTTCTAAGATTTCAAACCCCACTAACCAGAAGCTGTATTTTCTTGGCACAGCTCAAGCAGACTGATGCTAATTGCATGCTAATGACATTCCTGAATACATGCTAGTTGCATTCCTTACAGAGTTCCTTTCCATTTGTTTAAAGCACTTCATCCTAAATTGATCATGAAGTGAAGTAATCAAAGCACCTGTGAGACAAACAACAAAGCCTCTACTCATTAACCACATCTTCTAACACTTTATCTTGTTTAGGAAGTAAAACCACCTGAAGTATTAAAAAGGGAAGGAATTTCTCTCAAAGTAAAGTATCCAACTTCCAGTGAAATTCCAGGTGGTGGACTGTCAGCACACAAGCTACACTGACATGAGGAGGCAGCTCAAGTACCAAACTGCAGCCCAGGGCGTTTTCAAAATAAAATAAATTGTGCTAACTGTAGCCCAAAAAAGCTTTTAAAGTAAATGGAACCTGCCCAGTGCACTGTGGATACCTAATTTCAATGATTAAGAAAGCCACAGTTGGCATTCTGTAATTGCTGCTCCAGTGGGGGAAAGTAATTACAAAGCTGAATCCTCAAGTCTTTGTTTGGGCAAAATTTCAACACAAGTTTTCTTAAGTAATGACTCCAAGCTTTGCTTCAGAACATCTAAACACTTCTTGTTTTCCCCTGCAGGCAGGACTCAAGATAAGGAAATTAAATATTTTAACTTTTTTTTCATCTCCATGATTAAATGATATATTTACTGGCTTTTTATTATGTTACCTTTGCTTCTGTGAACTGAACCCATTAAGTTTCCATTGGCCTTAAAAAACCCAGGAACTGAAATAGAAATGTTGACACAGCTTTGCTGTATAAACTCTCTGATAGCTACTGCAAAACAAGAACAGTTATAAAATCTGCTGCAGGACCCTGTGAGTGAAGAAGATGGTTCAGATACTCCTTTAGTTCCACTTGTGGACCTGTGGCTGATGAGCAGCATTTAAAAATTACATTAAAATGACAAAGTAACAACAAAGCAATGAGGTGCTGACTGAGAAAAAACCCTTTAACCCAGAAGAGCTGCCAAAGCAGTTGTGTGATGCAACTGAAAGAGTAAATGTTCTTCAAGGAGTAGGACAATGACTTGGTTTACTGAATTTAAATTCAGAAATAGTCAGATTCTATCATTTTGGAAGTAATTTATACATCGTTCTGCGCCATTTTGTTCACCACACTAACCTAGAATGCAACTGGCAAAGCCCTGTGAAAGGGCCATGCTGCTTTCTGTACAGTGGAGAATTTCCCAACAAATCCACCCCAACACCAGTATGGACAGCACATAAAACCTCTCTCAGTCCTGTGATGTGAGAGACAAACTGAAAGGGGTTAAGTGAAGTGCCAAAGATGACACACATCTGAAACACTGAACCCTAAGCCATGATCCTCATGGGTCTCTTCCAGCTCAGCAGACTCTGTGGTTCTAAGCTGCCTCCCAGCTCTGCTGCCAAGCTGCCAGGCTAATCCTTGTTACAATGCCTTCAAAGTGATTAAATCACCAGAAACCTGGAGCTTATCAAGTTGTCCTTTGGAGACAGTTAGTTACACATCTCTCTAATAACTGCAACTCCTTCCCAACTGCTTTTGTTACCCATGATCATACAGAACTAACTGACTCCACAAGTAGTGTAATTTATTTTGCTGAGGTTATTTGCAGACTGAGATATCACTGAAAACAAGGAGCAGCAATCCTGCTGATATGAATGTAATCCAGCAACAGGCAACTTGAGAAGCTACAGTTACATAGAGAACAAAGTATTTCCATATATAAACAAATACATTAATATATAAATATACTGGCTTCAATATATAGATACGTCTAGTATACATATTTATAATCACACATTAAAAATGTGTGTATATATATATATATTGTCCATGGTCTATAAAAAAAGCTGAATTAGGAAATAGCTTTATTTCTGGCACCACACAAAACTGCACAACAATAAGAAACAAACCTTAAAGCTTTTCAAACAAGTGTTTTACAGAAGGTAACTAGAAAAAGAAGTCTACACTGAATAAAACACAGTATTCAGTGCATTTGTACATTCACTGAGAACATGTTGAAGGAGTATTTCACCAATGCCCAATTACAAACACAAAAGGCATAAAACCTTAGAAAACCCAAACTTCTGATCTAGTAAGGGGTTTTCATGCATTTTCTACCAAAGAAGTGTAAACCCTTTATGGATGATTACTTACTTTCAGGTTTGGAATCTGCTACTGCATGCTGCATCTCTTTCAGCTGGAGCTGAGCTCTTTGCAGCCTCTGCTCTGCATGGAACAACTTTTGAGAGAGAATTGGACATACATAAGCTCATTTCTTGGCAACGCATGTTCAAACAACTAAACCAAAAGGCTACCAAAAAATCCCAAACGTAAAAAATGGCAGCTATAAGCATCTGATGATTATCTGTCTCACAAGGGAATGTGCCAAACCAAGTATTCAACACATGGCCTGGGCTCATTTGAGATTCCCTAGTGTTAATTGAGGAGAGTATTCTTGTTCTCCCAAGTGATACTTTCTGTATGGCAGAAATTCATGAAACAATTTTCCACCAAAACTGTGAGTGGCTTGAACATTACAATAACAACAAAATTCTCTGATTCTGTAATTAAAAGGCAGCAAGCATCAGGATTGCAGCAGCTAACAATCCTTATCCTGCAATGCAGCTGAGCTGTCACAGCAATCCACTGTCCATTCTGAGAGGAGACTGGAAAGCTTCTTGCCAAACACCCACAGCTGATTTGCGTTTCTGTGATGCAGAGAGACGTGTACTAAGAACTGGAGTTAGCTGGACATCACACTCATTTCACTCGTGATCTCACTCAGCAAAGACCCAACAGACTGAGAGCCTTCTGATTCCCATTGATTACACATCCAGATACAGACTGCAGTATGAGAAATCTGGGGTATTTTCCCCTTTTAATACAGCATTGAATTTCAGGCTACAGAATTTGGTGAGTTGATTTAACAATATGGCCACAGATTTTATTAGAGTATCTCATTCTCACAACACAGGTCCGGGATAAAACTGACACTTATACTCAGATGTCAACTGCTTCCAGTGCTTCTCAGGACATCATTTTTGTCAAGCTCAGGGTCTAAAATCCCAAGGTTGCTCCTGAACACATATTCCCCCTCCCAGGGAATAGCTGAGATACTTGCTGTGTTGCTCAGCCCCTGAAATCTCAATGCAGATGCACAGAGATAGAAATGAGACCCAGGAAACATTTGCTTACTACCATAAAGAGTTCCTTTGGGTGCTCCAGCAGTAAGTCATGAAATGTTTCCTAGGACAGCTAAATGATGATGTCAGCAGCAGCTGAGGCAGCCAAGTACCCTCACTGTGGTGTTCAAAGCTTGCAGGGTCAAGCCTCTTCCCTTAAAATGTACAGAGATCTTTTAAATGGGATTGAATTTTCAGGGGTTGGGAGCAACTCTGTCCTGCTTTTCCTGATGTATTTTTTAATTCATGATTCCCAAAGAAACATCAACAACTCTTTCTTTTAACAGGTATGTTTTTATGTCAGTACCTGATTTTTTTGTTCGTGTTTCTGTTGAGCCAAAGATTCTTCTCTCTCCTTTTCCAAGCGAAGCTGTCTTGCTATTTCCAGCATCCGCTGATGATTTTGTACTGTCTCCACCTACAGCAAGTGGATAAATAGTGCATGTTGCTGTCAGATCGTTGAGAAATGCATTAAAGGGATCATATGTCTCACAAGCCCACTTAGCACTTCCTTTCCATCCACGTTACTACTCAGAAATGACAGCAAAGGACTGGACTTGAGATTCTTAAAAGCTCTGGACCAACGCCTGGGGAGATTCCCTGTAGGTCAATTAGTTACTTGATTCCTTCCTAGACATACAGCGTGTTTATCTTAATCCTTGTTTGCATTCCAAAACCAGAGTTGCAAGCCAAGGATTATGACACTGAAATGGAAGTGTTACTTATCTTATTACCCTCTTCTTAAGACACTCCACTCTTTTGACCAGTTGATCCTTCTCTTCTTCCATTGCACTGATGTCCTAGAAAGCAGGAAAAAATAGATAAAGAAATATTAATTTATTTACAATGTAATATGGATTACATTGGACTAAATTACATGGACCAAATTCCATCCAAATTAATACGAAAATCAGAATTCTTCACTGAATACATGGAGGTGGTTATAATTTTATTGATCTACGACCAGAACATACAAGATTCCAATCTCCCTTCTCTCTTACTTCCCCCACAGTTCCCACTCTCTTCATGCTAACATTCCTCATCTGCATCCTTGAGTATTAGTGTGAACATTTAAAAGGAAAGCAGGTGGATTTCTCTAACAGAAAAACAAACAAACAGACACCACCAAGGCAAAATCAGTATGGAATCAACATCTGCTGCAGTCTGACATATGTTCTTAATGTCACCATCATTACTCACTTCCTGGCAGCCCATTTTGCATGAAGCTGCATGTGAGTGATGTTTGCTGCCACTTTTTGTATTAAAATTGTGTTAAAAGAAACACTTGTTGTGCTAAAACACAAATCTGATTGTTGTTCTCCTTTAGTCCTATTTTACAACAGCAAGAGGCAAAATGGATTGATAGTTATGAGAGACAGGGAAATAAATTCTCCAAATGTAGATGTTATATCAACATTTGCTTAGCTTGTCTATATGTCTACTGGAAAGCTGTACACACACTTAAATATCTTGCTGAAACAGGACAAATATCTTTATTTAACACCTTAGCCAGACAGGTTCATCATTTTTGTTGACTTAAGCTCTTAATTCATTCAACACTCTGGAGTTATTACCCCGTATCAGGAAAGCAAAAGGCTTTGTATGAGTTTGCATTCAGAGGAAATGGAGTTCTAATATTTGGAAATGATGCTGAACAGAGTCTTGGCAGTCTCAGTCCCCAGTCTGCTGCAGAAAGCTCAGCTCTAAGCACAAGCAAGGACTTTCTCATCTGTTTGCCAACAGAGAACAGTTGCAAAAAGGCAGCTGCAGTGCCTACCAACTCTGGCCTCTATGACCTACACACTGCAATGAGTCCACAAAACCAACAAAAATACAGCTGACATTGAAAAAAAATGAAATAAAAGTTGTGTGATTTTTTACCCTTCTTATTTCTGCAGTAGACAAACCAGATGTTTTGAGCTGCTCATGCTCCTTATGGAGGGTTTTAAATGCTTCCATGAGTTCTTCATACTGTAAAATGACACAGAAATCATGCAAAATGAGCTCTGTTTCTAAGGATTTTCACATTGACGTGTTGCTTTACTACTCAGACAGTAAATGTAGGCATAGAAATATGGTGAGAACAGGAATAAAATGCATTTTTATCATTGCAAAAGTCTGTCAACTTATAAAGCAGAAATACAAAATCACAGTCATTATCTTCCATTGGAAAGAACACTCAGAACTTTCCCGATTTCTTCAGTATTTTCAGCTCTTCCCTTGTCATACACAGTCTGTTTTCCAAACAGAGATAGGATGTTATCTGGGAGGGACCAGGCTATATGAACAAATTATTCTCTCTTCCTATAAATCTGTGTATATCATATATATACATTTATCGGCCCTAAAAAGAAGAGCTTGATCTAACAACACACTTGGTTGAAACAATGAGGCCTGCATTTATAGAGTGGCCAAGAGCACACCTGACTGAACACGTGAGAAATAGCTGTGCCACCTTGCATAACTGTGCCCTCAGTGCATCAGAGACGTGAGAGATGCAGCTCAGCACTCAGAGAGAAGGAGACAGTGTGCTACTTCCACACCAGTACATTGCCCACCAGGAATCTGAAACTGAGAGGCAGTGTGAAAGTCTGTGTGGGTAGAGAAATAACAGGGGACAGAAAGAGTTTAGAAATATGGAGAGGAAATAAATTTAGATTCAACTTGGAGAAATGCAAACTGAGGGACAAGGAGAGAGAATCTCCACAGAAACAGCCATTCAATGAGATGGAAACATCTAAAGAGAGAATATCAAGGCATTTTTTACTTCCTGGAAAGAGCAGTTGATAGGAAAGTTGAACACAAAATGGCAACAGCAAAGACCAGTTCAAACAAAGGCATCACACCCCTGAGCAGTGAACCAACAATTCTATTTCATCAACCCCTGGGGAACCAACACCAGAGTGATCTGTTCACTTGCGGTTGTTTCAGGATCAGGCACACACTGACAAGCTGGAATGAATTAGAAAAATAGCAATAAAATGGCTACTAGGATGATAAAATCATAGAGAAAGAGCTGGATTAAGTGGCAATTAAAGGTGTGCTAAGGAATGCACAAACTGGACAATGAGGAATGAGTTACATTACATCACTTACGCACCATGGAAGTCCTTCAACAAAAACTAACATAGCAGGTGGTCTTTGAGCAACCTCATTCACCACTGCTGGTGTCCAGCAGTTTTCCTTTGCGTGTCTCTATCTCTGTCAAAGGGAAGTTTAGTCTTTTCCTTATTGGGACACAGATTTCAAGAGCAATGGCAGATTCAAACAAGGGCAGAGCACAGTTTGATAGATCATAGCGAAGGGAAAGCCTCTCACTTTTCACTATAGCTACCCCACATGCACCTGAAATAACGGACACTCTCAAATGACCAAAAACCACCCAGGCTCCTACATGGGAAGAAAGATTCCTGGGAGCAACACTCTGAACAAACAGATTAATGCCTGAAGTTGCTCATTTTTTAAATTAGATCCTGCAGTCAATCCAGTGTCTAAATCACTACACAACTAAGAATGTGCTGAGTATCTTGTAAAATGACTTACAAAAGTGCATTTGAGCTTGATTCTACACACCCATAGAACTTGACCATGTTACAAGGTGTTCAAACTCTTGTATTTGAAATTTCTCTTAAAAGGCACAACTGCAAGCCTTATCTAAATAATTTAGGCTAAATGCTTTAATTGATTATTATCTAAATACTTGCATTGTCATGCTAAATCGCAGCAAGGCATTGTATTGCCCCAGCCTCTGTTTTGAATTAATCAGCAGGGTATTAGTTTAATAAGATGGTTCTATTACTGTAATCCCCAAAAGGAACACATCTTACGTAATGGAAATCATGGAGGGGCATATTTATACATATTAAGACTGTGACATACTGAAAAAACATACAATCTGCATTCCTTTCTCTATTTGCTGCTTCTGCTGAGTTATTCCAAGTTAGAAATCCGATATTGTTAGAGGTAACAAAAAATCAAAAGGCTTAGTCAAGCCTCAGTCAGACTGTTCAGCTTTGCACTGCTAATAAATCAAGTTACCTGCTACAAACACTCAAAACCATTGTGGTTTTACAGGACAAAAGACACAAAAAATGGGGTAAAAAGTAAGTAAATATGTACCTCAGATAATGCAGACCTAAACCCATAACTTTGGTTCATTTTAAGCTTTACATTTCAAACCCAGCCAGTCTGACTATCTAAAATCAACATTTAATGCTCACAAAGGAAGTGGGAACATAGTAAGTAGGAATGTCAGCCCGAGGAAAAGAAGTTTTTGACTTATTCACAGAAATATAAGTGGTTGAAGCAGAAGTGGTATAAAACTAATACAAATAGTAGGCATCAAATACTATCACCTATCATGACTACAACATACAATCAACTGACAATTAGGATTGGCTTTTGGTCGTAACATTTTCTGAGCTAGTTTGAAGTGGCAATTCAGCATTCATAGGGAAAAAAACTGTTGAAAATTAAGAAATAAAAATCAGTCTAGATCAACATGGCTCTGAATATTGTTTGGCATCCAATACTTGATGGGCTTAAAGCCTTTTAATTAAATGCTACCTATTAATATACAATTTTGGGCTTATTGGAAGAAAAGTGGGCAGGACATCTATTTTTAATTATGAATCTTTGCTCATCCTTGATTCCAACATGCTCTTGATATAACTCACTTGAACATGTATCTCAGCAGTAACTCCCTGATTCATTTATTCCTTCTCCCATTGGCACTTTAATTAATCTAAAACATTTGCCTTAATAAAAAATGGTACCTGTTTGTTGATGTCAGCCACAGTATCGTCCTGTAGAAACTCTGCTGGCACTTCCAATTTCACTAAGAAATTGGCCAGGTAAGCCCTTTTCCTAAGTTCATTGGTCCTCTGAAGCAGCCAGTGCAAGACATGATGAATTACAGGTTTGCTTCCAGTAACCAACCCTTGGCGAAAAGCACTCCTGCATGGAAACCAGAGACAAGACCAGTAACTCTCAGGCTAGGGAACACTAGCCTGGGACAAAAAAATTGCAGTATTTTGATGTTCCTTATCCACTTGCCTAATGATTTTCTTCGCGTTGTTTAAAGAGAAAATGCTCATGATGAGGCTGAGAGAACTGGGTTTGTTCAGCTGGAGAAGAGAAGGTTGAGGGGAGAACTCATCGCTATATACAACTTCCTCCCGAGGACAAGTGCAGGGGCAGCTATCTTCCCTCTGTGAGCAGGGACAGGACCCAGGAACGGCCTGAGCTTGTGTCAGGGGAGGATCAGGTTGGGTACTAGGGAGCGGGTCTCCCCCCAGAGGTGTTGGGCCCTGAACAGGGTCAGGTTGGATGTCAAGACAAGGTTCTCCCCCCAGAGTTGTTTGGGCCCTGAACAGCTCCCGGGGCAGTGTCACAGCCCCGAGGCTGACAGAGCTCCGGGAGGGTTTGGCCAACGCTCTGAGGCACAGGGTGCAGTGTTGGGGTGTCTGTGCAGGGACAGGGGTTGGACTTGATCCTCGTGGGTCCTTCCGAACTGAGATGTGCTGTGACTCCAGGGCAGGTTTTGTCCACCACCTGGCACAGGTGAGTCGCTG